TTTTTTCTGATTGATCCCTTTCCAAAGAAGTATGCTGGTATTTGCCTTCAGTCTCATTAATTTTGTCTTCCATTGCATCAGTTCTACTCCTTTGTCCTTTCAATGTGTTATCTATTTCTGACAATTTTGTATTAATCTTCTGGATTTCTATCTGTAGATTTAGAATCATTTTGTTCTTGTATTTTCTTCCAAAATTCTTCTAGGGATTGGTCTGTGGTTTCCTTGGTCTGTCTTTTAATCCTTCGAAGATACCTAAATATAATTCTTTTGAATTCCTTATCAGGGAGTTCCAATGCTGTGTCTTCCTCAGGGATGTGTTCTGAATCTGTATCCTGGTCCTTTGTTTCTCCTGCTTTATCTTGCTTCTTTGTGTGGACTGTGATGCTCTGTTGTCTCTGAGGCATTGTGACGTTTTTGTGTTTCTATTTAATTGATGATTTTATGTTGGAGTGACATGCCCATGATTTTTGTTTTCTTTGTATGTTATCTATACAGGCAGGGCAGTGTGCTGTGCTCCTCTATTCACTAGTTGACAGCACTTATACACTCACCACCTGTTTCCTTTCCTTTGTCAGCCTCTTGATGTCCTTGCCAACCCTGGCAAACAGAGCCTGTTCTTAGGTCCCTGGAATCTGAATGAGAATGCTATCACTTTAAAATCCAAAATGGTTGCCACTTGTAAACATTCAAAATAGCTGCCACATGTAAACAATCAAAATGGCTGTGCCTTCCAGACACCAGAAAGTCCACAGCTCAGGTTGTCTCCCTCCTTGCTGTTTCCCTTCCTAGTCATAGGCCACCAAAGCAGTTGTCCCTGAAGCCCTTGGTGACCAGGACTAATCTTTAGGTCAATTCTCAGGTCCCAACACCACTTGGAAATATTCAGGCTGTTGGTCTCGTCAGAGCAGCTGACAGTCCGCAGCCCCGATCATCTCTGTACTCACTCTTTTTGCTCAGGTTTTTCCACTAGTTGGTACCTAATCCACTTCTGTATAGTTTCTTTCAAAGCTCAGGGTTCCAGGATTATCTTCTGTATCTCTGTCAATTAGTTTTTCTTTTCTCTGTTGAAGAGGGTCTGTGTTGCTTGTCTGCCTATCCCTCTATGTTACCGGAAGACCTAAGCTGTTCTTCCACTGGACTGCACTCCTTGGGAGCAGGACGAGTGCTTCATGCTTTCTGTATCAACATACTTGGAACAGAATCTGGATTGGCATAGATCTTTAGGGAATGTATGGAATGAAAACCCAGCAATGAAATGTGAAGTGGTTGGACCTGAGACACGAGCAGCCTCACAGTGGGTTCTGAACTAACTACTCAGACATCTAAACAACTTTTTTCTTCTCCGCTCTTTGTAGGACCTACTCAATGAAGCGAAACAGAGACTTAGCAAGGTGGTAAAAGACACAACCAGGTACCAAGTGCTGCTGGACGGACTGGTCCTCCAGGTACCCTCCCAAGGCTGGAACTGCTGGCTCTGGCCACAGTTCTTAAAAAATGTGACAGGATATGTTAGAGACCAACTTTGTTGTTCTTTTCTACTCAGCTTTTTTTCCTCTTTTCCTTGTCTTATACAGAAACGTGTGCTGCATAGGATAGTAGTGTCTGTCTGGTCTGATAAGACTTCCAGGCTTTCATAACTTGTGTCAAATTTATTTACAATCTTCAGCATTAAGCTTCCTTAATTTGAAGTTCACTACTAAAGTACTTACATACTGGAGTTTAGACCAAAGACTATACATTTTAAGCCAGGCAGTGAGTCCATATTTTCCTTATGTTGATTATAATATTGGTCCTTCACCTGGTTGAAGAAAGAAAAGACTACCATATGAATTTGTCTGTACCCCAGAGCAGAGGGTATATTTATGCTATTTGTGATATCAAGACCTTCTTTCCATGTTCTGAAAGAATATAAAAATAATTTATTTTGCCACTGCTTTATTTTGTAGTTTATATTTCTTACCAGTTACATCTGATTGTATTCTGTAGGGTTTATACCAGTTGCTGGAGCCCCGAATGATTGTTCGTTGCAGGAAACAGGACTTCCCTCTGGTAAAGGTAAAGTGCCTAGAAGAACTCTGTCAAAGATCAAAATGTTAGGCTACAGTGAATGCTCTCATATGACATCTCAGCTATAGGAATTGGGGGCGTCTTAGCACACTTCAGATGTTGTTAATTTAGTCTTGCTCAAGCCTCTAATAATTTCTTAAAGAGGTCAGGTTGCCGTCTGAGCTGGTGCTCCCCTCCCTTACAGGAACTTTGTAATGTCATAATTTTGTAAAAATCAAACATTAAGCAGCACCTACTGGATTGGAGCAAAGATAGACAACACCATCTTAAAGAGGCATACCACTCCCAGGCCAGCAAGTCTTGGCTGTAACTTAAATATATTCACATACCTAGAGAAAGAATGTGGGTACCAGAAGGGGAGGTTGGTCAGCAGTGAAAACTACTTAGTTCCCAGGGGCAACCAATGTAGTCCTGCTTTCTGCACTGTGTAAGGGAGAAGCTACCATGGTCTGAGGGTGTGACCAGTCTGGCCCCATGACAGACACACAGATTGTAGTAATAGGTGGCTGCTTCAGACAGAAGGAACCTGAGCTACTAAATTTTAAATTACATGATGGACTCCCGTCAGAGCCCTGGTGGGGCAGTGATTAAACTGTTAACTGAAAGGTCAGCAGTTTGAACCCATCAGCTGCTCTCTGGGAAAAGATGTGGCAGTCTGCTTCAGTAAAAGGTTTGCAGCATTTGAGACCCTATAGGGCATTTCTACACTGTCCTGTATTGTCACTGTGAGTTGTAATTGACTCAAAGACAATGGGTTTGGTTTTTGGGTAATGGACTCCCATAGCTTTTTGTCATCAAGTTGCTCTTTAGATTAAAATTCTATTTTCATGTAGTTTGCTTTAAGGCAAAGATGTATGTTACTGGTCCTCTGGCAAATATATTTTATATTATAAATCAATACATTTGTAATACACAATACATTTATATTCTCAGTATAATCTGTCTCCCAGGAAGTGTGGCAGCTGGACAACATAGGTGTTCTTTCATTCCCCTCAGTTACACATTGTCCGCTATAAATGTGGTTCCAGTGTACCTTGTTCATGAACCCACAAAACAGAGGGCAGAACCTTATTGTGGTAATTCACCAAGGTGATACCACTCTATGGAGGACGGTCTGAGTTGCCAACTGACCTTCTCTAGGTGGCACCATCATACTGCTGAATCCCAAGCAAGTTTTTTTCTTGAAACTTCTACACTGTTCAGTGTCAGTGATCAGCTCCCCAGAGTGACACTGCATTAGGTTTGAGGAGCAGGGCAGAGTTGAGTATATGCATCAATATGTTCAACTAGTAATACCGTCAGAGAAAAACATTTAAGTTCCTTCTAGGAAATGTTATTTACATGTATATTTGAGTGTAGATAATACTGTTCCAAGACAGGACTTTCCACTAATTATGTTGTGCAGTGGTGAACACTTGCTTCCATATATTCTTTTATTTGGAATAAATAGCAATATCTTTATTGGTATACTACATTGGGTTTTTTTTTGGGGCGGGGGGGTACCTGCTCTGTAGTTTTCTGCCAAAACCTCTCACTGCTTTCTTTTTTTTTTAGGCTGCAGTGCAAAAAGCAATCCCTGTGTACAAAATTGCCACCAAAAAAGATGTTGATGTCCAAATAGATCAGGAGGCCTACCTGCCTGAGGACATGTAAGGAGTATTCCTCCATTTGATATGAGGTGTGAAGTCTTAACCTCTGTGAGGTTAAGGGTGTGGTTGTGTTCCACAGGCAACTATTGCTGTTATCTGTCAGTGCTCTGTTTTAAAAAAGTGAGGATATTAAGAATCTCATAGGGTCATTCTGAAGATGGAGAAGCCCTTGACTTTACATTCACTGAGTGTCTGGCATATAGTAGACATTATCACTTAATGTTAGTCTTCCTTTCCTTCTCCAAAATGGATAAAGAATTTTATCACAGACATTGGGTCAGGATTTCAGCCAAGAAATAACCATGCCTTTATGAAGAATATAATCTATTTAGAGAAACTGAAGATAGATGAAACAGAAATGGTAGGGAAGAGTAAGAAAATAATATTAAGGTCATACATTGTCCATTAAAATATTCCACAGAAGATTTGCAAAACCTTTTCCAGCCTTTGGCTGATAGCCTGCTTATTTCAAGCAGTCTTTGATGAAATAAAATTCTAATACAGCAGAATTTCATTCCCTGAAGTTCCTTGCTACAGAATTTGACTTGTTGACTTCATGTCTCAAGTGCTAAGAAACTTTGAGGAAGGGAATGGCAGAAGTGAGATATGGCTAGAGGCAGAACTTTCTGAGAGTGAGTTTAGCAGAAGGTAGCAATGGTATCTTTTATCTGATACACAAAGCCGTGTGAGTGCTGCCTTATCAAAGCTCCCTAGTAATTAGCAGTGTTGGGGCTTTAAAAATACTCAGATGAGGATTCTTCAGGAGTTGTTGGTGAAGTCATTTTGTAGCAGTTTATGGACTAGTATGAATCCTGATTCTACGACTTAGTATCAGCTCTGCCCTTTTTCTGTCTTACTGATTTACACAATGGGAGTAAATCTTACTCTTCATTTTGGTGGAGGGGGCTGGAGGTTAGAATTAAATGAGGTCCTATAACATAAAATTAAATTGGCACATAGCAGGCACTTGGTTAACGACAGTTATCAACACACATGCCTTAATTGTCAGAAGCTTTTAAAATTATTTGAAGCCTATTCTTTGTTTTTATTGGCTTCGTATAATATTTAGATACTTTACATATACCAAAACTGCTTTCCTCTGAGGGAATAAGGTAAATGTGTGTGTTTCTATCTTCCTCACATCTACAAAAATTGTTATTTCCTCTGTTCTCTGTAGAGCTGGTGGTGTTGAGATCTATAATGGGGATCGTAAAATAAAGGTATCCAACACCCTGGAAAGCCGGCTGGATCTCATAGCCCAGCAGGTGAGTGTGGGAATACTGCTTGTTAGTTGCTCTGTTGTGATTTTAAAGGAACACAAAGAACATATATATGTCTGTTCACTGATCTTGGGATTTGTCACTATTCACATTTCCTTAAAAGGAATGAGGATTAGGCATTCAGTGGCATTTACTGAGGTGATATCATTCATCTGCCGGAGGATTTGGGGTCAGAACAAGGGTTTTTATCCAGAACTCTAATGTGTACATTTCATTGTATTTAGAGATGGTGGCCTCTCTCTCCAACAAGGATGATGGGACTAAACACTTGTTTAAAGAAATCACTTTAGTGCTACTGCTTCTAGGTTTGCATAAATGAATTCTAGGAAACAAGCTGGAAAAATTTCCAGTCGTTCCAAAATACTGGGCAGTTTTCAGTAGTGGCTTTCTATTGCTGAAAACCAAACCCACTGCCTTTGAGTTGATTCTGACTCAGAGCAACCCCTTTTGGGTTTCTGAGGCAGCAAATCTTTATGGAAGTAGATTGCCCAGTCTTCTTTCATGGAGTGGCCGCCAGCCTTCTGGTTAGCAGTCAGATGCCTTAGGCACCACACTACCAGAGCTCCTCCTTCTCTAACTTAGAAGAAGTATTTGATGTTTGTGCAAGTACTTGTCTTATAGCTGAAGTACTTGGACCTTCAGTATCATTTTCTGATAACTTAAACCTTAAAACTATGCTGCCCACAGTACAGCAGCCATTAGTTACATCGGACTGTTTAAGTAAAACTAAAAATCCCGTTTCTGTCACAGTTGCCACATTCCAGGTATTCAGTAACCACATGTGGCTAATGGCTCCTAGGGTAGGCAGGTTGGCTATGGAAGTGTGAAGCTAAATCCTCCTAAGGATTTTTCAGTGGCCATAGTAAGTGCTTCATTGTGCTACTTCACAAACTTGCATTTTCAATTTTATGTTCAGTTACTCCAAACAGAGGGCACATAATAGATACTCAGTTAAATATTTGTTGAAAGAATGTAGCTGATCCAGAGTTTTGTGATGAAGTAGTACTGTTAATGAGCTGATCTCTTCTCTCTACATCACAGTATAACAGACACCTGAGACAGTAATAACTCGGGTTTTTTTTTTTTTTTTTTTCCATCTCCCCATCCTTCTTTACAAAGCTTTTGTAAGCAGTTGGTGTTAACTCCAAATGTCTGATTAGTTAAGTCTCATCAAGGACTCTGTTGCAGTGCTTCAGATAAGTAAAGGACGTATTTGACGCACTTAGCTTTGTGATTTCCCTTTCCAGCTATATAGGAGTTAATGACTTTTCCCTGAGGTTAAGATAGGCAGTTCTTTCCAAGTTCTTCAGTTGACACTTATTTACTGAAGACAGACGATCTGGTGGTACAGTGGGTAAGGAATTTGGCTACTAACCAGAAAGGCAGCGGATCAAACCCAGAAGCTATGCCTTAGGAGGAAGATGGGGCAATCTACTTCCGTAAAGATTTATAGCCTTGGAAACCCTAGTTGGAATCGACTCATTGGCACTGAGTTTGGTTTTATTTATTAAAGAAAATTTTATTTCTTTGCAGATGATGCCAGAAGTACGGGGAGCCTTGTTTGGTGCTAATGTGAATAGGAAGTTTTTGGACTAAGCATTCCACTCCTCTACTGATAAGATATGGAAGTTTCTGATATTTGAAGAACCAGGATTATCTATGTAACCTCCTCTTTGTTGTTCTAATAGTGTTCTGTATTTATCAATGGAATATCCTATTGTAGCTAATGCCCTTGGTCTGATTGTTAGCAACAGGAGCAAGTATCACTTAAGATGATCAAGAGCCAAACTCTAGTTCATATAAAAGCTACATAACTTTCAGTTGGTTCTGCAGCATGAAGGTGAGGGGATCCAGTGGTGATTGCATGAACTTCACAGTTTAGTCTAAAGGGTGGCATGTATGGTGTTCTCTGCCTTCAGGCTTTGCACTTTAGGTTTAAAATGCATGTGGAGCGTGCATTCTTCCAGCTATAGTAGCTTCACTGTTTCCCTAGTTAAGCCTAGACGTTTTCCTCGTCTGTAAATGTGATTTCAAATCTAAACCATGAATATGCTTTATTTATTAAAAGAAAAGATTTATGTGGATTTTGTTTTTAATTTTCTTATGCAAGGCACCACAGATTTGTAGTTTGAGAGAAAAATTCTTAGTAACCAGAAAAGGACCATTTCCCTAGTTCCTGTCACATTTGATAAACTTACAGCTGTCACTACTTGAATTCACTCACCTTTTGTGTGCTGGCATTTCCTGGGCACTAGCACCAGGCCCTCAGTAAAAGTATTCTTTCCTACCCACATAACCTGCCACCCCCCCGCACACACACACACAAGTGTCCTCTCCAAGAGTTTTACAGCTTTATTGAGGTAATATTGGGTTACTGTGTGTTAGGCCTAAACCCTGTCACAAAAGGCCTTGTTTTCTCCTCACCCCCCTTCTCTAGGTAGCCTTTCTTCATGGCAGCTGAGCACTGCCCAAGGTCTTACAGAGTTAGCATAGCTGGAATCTTAACTCACATCAGCCTGCAGAGCCCATGCTCAAATACAGTCATCTTAATTAAAAGGCCACCAAGGCTGACCATCTCAGCACCATCACCTTCTTCATTATGCCAAGTTTTACATTAGGTGGGGATTAATGTAAATAACTCCTGGAATAGGTATGTTTTCCTTAGAGCCTGACCCTACATGTGTGACACTTCTCTGTGGCAGACTTCTGGGGAATGAATTGAGGCACGTGGAAAAAACTGTCACAGCATACTCAGTTCCTCGAGATGATGCAATAAATAATTACTAACCAAGGCTCAAAATCTAGTATAACTTAAAGTATCTCCATGGTTATTGTCCTCCATCTTCATAAGTAACAATTTGAAGACTAAAGGATAGTGACCTATTCAGTACTTGTTTTAATATTGTTTGGTTCTGAAATGTATGCAGAAAAGTTGACAGTGGTGATTGTAGATGAGATACTAACCAGTTGACTTTATTTCAAGTAGTGTTCAATGAACATTGGTAAGGATGGCCCTGAGAGAGCTCATGCTCCAGAGGGTTTGTGACAGATGGCTATCCTAACTTTGCCCAAGCTCTTCAATTAGATTCAACCTAATCCCTCAACCAGCATGATTTGAAAAAGTGTGTGTTTGGTTTCGAACTAAGTCCTGACTTTGAGGGCTTTCTTGGTCCCCTTGAATTTCTGATCCTCCCTTTCCCCGAAATCAGTACTACTAGGACTAATCATAAATTAATTAAGGATTAAGAAAACTAAATCTTAAAAGAAATATGAGTATACTGAGTTTGCCTGTGAAATAGAAATAAAACAACATTCTACCTTTACTGTTTTTTTAAGGCCCTGCCATTAATATAACCAAACTAGGTATCATATTTATTATTGCTGAAAAGTAGGTGGTTAGGGGCTTCTGAAGAACCTCGATAGCTATACTCCCAAGGAAAATGAATGCAGATATCATGTAGGGGGGAATAGGGTGATACCCATGTTGCTTATTAGAATAGGGTTGTTTCTTCCCAGACTGAGGTAGCTCTATAAGTTAGAGGACAGATTATAACATGGATGGGCCATCTTATTCTGACCCCATCTAGTCTAGGTGGAATGGGATAGGTAGATGGCAGCAAGTAAAGGCCTCCAGTGCCAGCATCTACTCAAAAAATTTTAAGATACGTTCTCCAATACCAATGAAATAGACACCTTGGGCAATCCCAAAGAGAGGTGCTATGACAAGGGCTCGGCAGCCTGCTCCTTTCATGAAGGCAGATGGTCCCTCCTGAATCCAGAGTTTCCTGCGAAGAAAGAAGAGCCTGGTGAACTAATGGGCAGAAGCACATGGCAAGCAGTACTGCATGGTATCCTCTTCGTCAAATATTTGTACTTGAAAATAGGTGTCACTTCCCACAGCAAAATCAAGATTCCCAGATGTGTGGGAGCCAAGCCTTGCCCATGACATGTATGCAGTTTGGTTATACTGCAATTGACTGGAGGCTCTGGACATAGCTTGATCTAGCTAGAATCTTTAGGAGAATGGTGATACAGGGATAAAAGGAGAAGAAAAAAGCTCCTAGTACATCCTATTTTTGTTGGGAGGTGAGAGTAAGTGACAGATTTCAAGAAAATCCAGAGCTCAGTGTAGTTTGTCTTTAGATCTGATCTCGGTTGACACCACTGCAGAGGCAATTATCCCAGCTGCTGTACGTAATGGATACTGGCTTTTACCTGGCACAGTCTATGATCCCACTGTAGACTTCCTCACCCAGGCCTTTCTTGAGGGTTTGGATGCGAGTTTTCAAAACTAAGTCAAGGAAAGGTAAAAATTGGTAGTTATCTTCCTTATTGTATACTCTCAACATGAAGTAACTGGGTTTCCTTTTAGAACCACATATGTAAAACTGAATCATGAGGCCAGTTCTGCCAGTATGTGATCTGTAATAGAAGATCTTTCCTACTTTGAGCCTCATGAAATGAGGAACTTAGAGACATGATCTTTCGTATAGAAAGATCTATCCCTAGGCTCTACTTGTGTCTTAGAGAAATAAGATGCAACCCCAAATACAGATCAAATGTCCTCTCACACTGTTTAGCTGCTACTTTCAGTCTCATATTTAAAAATGTGAGCAGTCATTATTTATGATGCTCGTAACTCCATTAGGGTACAGGAAGGTAATGGAATCAGCAGCTAGAAGGTGAAGGAATTTGTCAGTGATAAGAAACAAGAGTGCAGGTCTCCTTGGCTCTTCATTCTCTATGAGGACCTTTGGTGTATTTCTGCCAGTAGTCACAGGTTGAGACCCTAGGATGGTTGAGGCTATTTCATCTTTATCTTGAGCGTAACAAAAGTACTGTTTACCCCATAGACTACTACACAAATACCTAATTTATCAAACACGTCAACCTTTGGTCCCCCAGATACTTAGCCCCTACATCTCCCATGCACTTACCATCCAGAGGGGTTACTGCAATAGCAGCTACAGAACCTGCAACACAGCCTGACACAAAGGAATGAGCAAAGGAAGCCTTCCCAGTAAGCTCGTTGAACCCAAGGTTGTTAAGGTTAGCAAACAGTGGGAAGTAGATGATGGAGAAGGGGATATCTCTGCAGAAAAGGAAGAAGAAACACTGAGCAACATGCAGCTCTGGGGCTTCCCCCCTAGGTCATCCAGTAGGCCTTTCCCATGAGCTGTGATGCAAGTCTGATGGGTCAGACAAGCCATAGCTACCCACTCCTACTCTGGCACCCCATGATAATGTATAGGGATAGACAGCGTAAGAGAAATCTGTTTATCTACCCCACCCTCCCAGTTCATTACTCTGCCCTGCAGCCTCTTACTGAGGAAACCAGATAGACTCAAAACTGGTAACTTGTTCTACTAAGGGTTAGGAAAGCTAAGGTAAGGCTTAAATTGAGCTAGTGGCTGGTGTACAGCTCTAGGTCTTGAAGGGAAGGGACGGGTAAGTTCATGTATATGTTGCCTAAGTGACATGAGAAAACTAGCCCCTGGCCTGGGACTCTTCTGACCAACTTTAAGGGCAAAAAAAAAAAAAACAACCCTGAAAGCTCAATTAAAAGCCAAGTTGCAAGGTAAACAAGTTTATTCTTTTATTTATAATAGATCTGCAATGGTGGGCCACACAATACCCAACAGTCATGAGGACCTAGTCACTGGAGAAAGAGTAAAGCTTCAGTCCTCCAGGTACCCATTCTATACATCCCTGCCAAATTCTGGACAGAACATTCCGAAGCATGGACACTGTTTGCTGTCCTGGGTTTGGAATGGGAAGAATACAGAGACAGATTGGGGCAACAACTTCTCTGGCTGCCTGTTCCCTCTCCCTGTTCACTCAGGAAACCAGGACTGGTTGTGTTCCAAGTTCAGGGAGAGCCTCACCTGAGGAGAGTGGCACCTAGACCCTTGTAGAGGCCAGCCAGGCCTTGAGTACGAAGCAGCTCCCATGCAATGTGGGTGGCAGATGGGCGCTTGTGGGTGGAAGGTGAGCCAGTCGTATAGGACCTAGAGGAGGAAAGTGCTGAGGCTGTACCCTGATGATGGACCGCTGAAAGGGAAAGGACAGACGTCCTATCAAAATCCAGCCCCAGTTGAGGCTGGAAAACATTTCCTAGGGTATGGCGCCCAAGTGGACTGTCCTAATTTTAGAATATTAATTTTGGCTTGGTGGAATTTTTTCTAAGGTCTTCATCATCTAATGAGCTACCCCTGAGGAAGAATAGGACAAATGCCACTGAGTTGGACAGATTGACCAGCCGTCCCAGGATTTGATTACATTGTGATGGCAGCTGCACACAATGCTTCATGAGACAGCCATTTCCTGCCCTGCTTTCTTTATGGAAAGGTGTAGCAGTTCTCCCAAGTTCCTTAAATACTGTATTTTTGATCTGTCTTCTGTCTCTGAACCTGCCACCAGTCTCTGAACCACTGGGGACATAGGAATCCCATACATCTGCCTAATGTGGAAAGCAACAAATTCCTTTTGTTTCTCTCAAAAACACTCCTGTCTTCCAGGGGTTCCTAAACTTCCTCCTAGATTAGGTGGACTTGTCTTTTTCTCCCTTGTTATATCCTCCTCCATGATACGGAGTTTGCTTCTTCAGATGTCAGTCCATTTTAGTTGATTAATTTAATGCCCATCATTTGATAAGTTCAGCATTGAGTAAATAAAATGGAATTGCTTTTTTCCTGACCATAGTAAATAGAAGCAATTTCAAATGTGAATGTACCTCACCAAAGACCACAGGATTTAATGTACTGAAATTGTGTAAATATGTATTTTCTAAAATCTCAGTGTTTGAGAAGTTTTGCCTGTAGTCTAAGTCTTTAGTAAAGGGAAGCTTTTAATTTCCCAATTCTGTCTGGTATCCAGGAGGGCATTTCATACTAGAAAAATAGCGCATATTTTCTGATAGTAGTAATGTAGGTGTAGGTCTCAAACAATTATCTTTGCAAATGGTTAACATGATTTCTGTTAACTGAAAGGTTTGATGGTTGAGTCCACCCAGAGGCACATCAGAAGAAAGCCCTAGCAATCTACCTCTGAAAAATCAGCCCCTGAAAACCCAGTGGAGCACAGCTCTACTCTGACCTCATGGGGTTGAGACAGCAGCAGGTATGTTCTTCTTAAGCCAACATTTCATACTAGGAAACAATTACTGTAAATATTTTTGTATGGTAGTAATCTAGGTGCAGGTCTCAAACAATTAGCTGTAAGTAATTAGTTAATCACTGTGAATATTATTTTCCATGTCATCTTTAAATTCACACAGTTAATCCATATCCTTTCACTTCTTTTTAAATGTTTTAGGAATACTAAAGCTTCTCACTAAGACTGAGAAATTGAACATTATAGGGCTTTTACCCTGCAGATCAAAACACAGTGGGGACTTCCCAGTCTCTGAACTTTATTCTTGCTGTATTTTTATTTGCTTCAGGCTAGGGTAATCTAATTTAAAAATTGGGTTGAATTCTAGCATGTTTGAGGAGGAGAAGGGCACCTGCATTTACTGAGACAGTCCACTCCATGCCAGATGCTATGCTAGGCACATTACCCGATGGCTTATCTATCTCAAACGTTGTGGTTTTGCCACAGATGAGAGGTGCGTCTATGCCTCCCACTAGGTTTGGCCTCCTAGACGCCAGCCCCAGCTCTCACCTCCATGCTTTGGTATCTATTCCACTCTATTTCTAAGAGGGCCAGGATTTAAGAAAGGGCCAAGCTTCTGTTCCAGGGAACACTCTTTTTCATGCCTTCCCACTGTAGGCCAGCTTCCATGGCATAAATCCCTACTGACTCAAGTGTTAATGAGCAGGCCATTGGCAATCCTTAAAATCTTTATGAAATCAAATGTGAATGTCAAGGCATTATGATAGAGGTGTTACGTTCTGTCCCTCCTGTATCAAGATCCCCAATTTTGCTATTTGTGGCAGAGCTGGAAGTGTTGAAATCTAGAATGGTAATCCTAAAGTAAAGACTTCAGTGACCTAGACAGCTGACTGGATCACACAGTTTAGCAAATGAGGGTGGGGATGTGGGGAGCCTATTCTGACCACAGCCCTTTATTGATCCCGTGTGAAATCAGAGCTAGGGCTCACCAAGTCGTCCAGCATCCTGCAGCTGAATCTTGAGCATTTCCATGGGACAGGTCACAATCACCTGGCACATTCCAGCTCCACATCCAGCTAGCATCTCCATCTTCAGATTGCGCTGTGCCCTAAGGAACCAATAGTCAGGCTCCTTCCGTCACACAGCAGCCCTATCCCTGCCTTGACCCATCTGCCCTCGCCTGGTGGTTGGGACTTCCCATGGATAGTATTTAGCCCTGTCCTCATCAGCTGCCATACCCAGTAGGGTAATAATCACCTGACGTCAGGCTTGGGCTCCTTAAAGACATGAAACTGTATTTAAAACAAAGGGTGCTAGGGAGGTAGCACCTACATAGAAGCTGAAACAGTAAAAATGAGACCACCTATTGGTGCTATTTGATTCTTCTGGTCCTTTAAGCAATACCACCTGATAATGGAAAACACAGAGAAAATAGAAAGTGTTTGGGGTCTGATTAAAACTCATCAGTTAACTGATCAATATATCTGTGCAGGATGTATGTATATGTGTATATACATATATACATAGCTTGGCAGTCTACTTCCAATGATCAGCCAGTGAAAACACTGTGTATTACAAGAATCAGATCTGCAACCAATCACAGGAATGGCTCAGGACCACCAGGCAGCATTTAGTCCATTGTGCACAGGGTAGCCATGTATCAGGACAAGTTGACAGCAGCTGATAACAACATATATATCTTCTATTTTATATATATACATGTGTGTGTGTGTAATAAAACCAACTCATTGCCATTGAGTTGATTCCAACTCATAGCAACACTATAGGACAGAGTAGAACTGCCCCATAGGGTTTCCAAGACTGTAAATCCTTGCACAAACAGATCGACACATCTTTCCACTGCAGAGCAGCTCATGGGTTTGAAATGCCAACATTTCATTGGCTTGTATATATAACAGA